TATAGACCCGAAGTTCCTGAGGAGTGGGTTGTGTAGACTGAGGAGGTTGAATAGGAGATGGAGGAGGTTTGACAGTCGGTGAGGGACCCGTGTCAGTTGATAAAGGAACACAGGGTTGTTGTTCACTACGACTACTCTCCCCCTGAATGACAGACCCTTGGTAGTATAATTGATGATAAAAAAAGGTGACATCCATAGAATTGTAGACCTTTTTAGTTGAAGGACAATAACACTTGTAGTCTTTCTTGTTGGTCGAATACCCTATGAATATGCATTTGACAGATTTGGGGTCTAATTTAGTGCAGTGTTGTTTGTGAATATGAACAAAGACGGAGCAACCAAATAGTTTTGTAGGGACATCTGAAGAGAGTGTACAGGTATTTGGAAAGGAGCGAAGGAGGACATCAATTGGATTACGAAAACCCAAAATACGGGAGGGCATCCGATTTATGATGTAGGCAGCGGTCAATGTTGCCTTGCCCCAATAACATTTAGGAACCGATCTGGTAAACATGAGACAGCGGGCTACCTCCAACAAGTGACGATTTTTCCGCTCAGCAACCCCATTTTGTTGGAGAGTATCAACACACGTGCTAAGATGAAGGATGTCATGTTGAGTAAGAAAAGTTCCTAAGGAGGTGTTGAAAAAATCTCATGCATTATCTATTTTGAGAGTCTGGATTTGTGTCAAATTGAGTATCATTTGATAGAATGCACGAAATATTGGTCCTACATCAGATTTGTCACGCATAAGATAGATCCACGTCACCCGTGTGCGATCATCAATAAAGGATACGAACCATTAAGCCCCATAAATATTTTTTTCACGAGAAGGACCCCAGCGTCACTGTGGATTAGAGAAAAGGGACGAGTGGGTTTGTATGATAATCGAGGAAATGAAGTGTGAGTGTGTTTGACAAGTTGACAAAATTCGCAATTAAAAGAGGTAGGACTTTTATTAATAAATAAATGATGAAACAGTTTCCCCAGGTACATAAAGTTGGGATGACCTAAATGATAATGAAGTAACATGATTTCATTATCATTATTAATGCTGGAATGGAATACAGATGTACTAAGCCGATTTAAGCAAGACAGAATTGATACTGGAAGACCCTCAGTGGGTGAGACTAGACTAATAGAGGGTTTGCTGAGGAGATAGAGACCACTGCGCAACTCAGCACTGCCAATCATCCTCCCCGACTTCAAATC